GGGGGGAAACTCTGTGGTGATGGCGATAAGGAGCGCGCCTTGCGCCCTCCGATAAGTGTGGCAACCCTAGAGGAGAAGTTTCTTACGAGTAGCGAGCAGAGCGAAACAGGCAGGCTGTCGGGCAGTGTGCGCGAAGTTCCTAAATAAAGCTTAATTTTTATTGTGCACTATGTCTTGTTAATATTATATTAATGCAGTAAGAACATAATCTGTGATATGGAATTCGAGGATTGGTGGTAAAAACATAACAGGAAATCACCATAATATAACGTAACTGACTTTCCTCTTAACTAACAAATCGATATCCAAGAAATTGATTATATATGAAAATGTTAACGACACTTTAAGAATAATCGGAAACAAAACAAAATATAATTTTCACTAAAACATTATCAGATAAACATATGTGAAAGAAAATAATCTGATAATTAACTAAGCAATTTTTATAGAGGTAAGCTTACGCAGTTACTTATCTTCCTTTTTATAAGCATTTTTAGACTGTATTTTTCTTAAAACTTTATAAAAAAAGGTTAATTTATTAATGAAATTGTTAATTAATTATGTAAATTTTAAATTCTGTTAAGTTCTTTAAGTTGCATTAATTTTCTACTCATTTTCAATTTTCAAATCCTTAAGTTTCTTTCTTATTTTTTCAGCAAAAATTTATTAGTTCATTCAAAAATATGAAATATAGAAGTAAAAAGAATCCCTCTTTTTTTCTTGCTCTCCCAAATGATTATGCGAAAATGCATTTGCAACTTTTAAAACCTGAAAGAGCATATGTGCAATGTTATCGTCAAGCGATGATTTGTAGGGATTTTATTTTTTACCACGATATTTTCGACGACGATTTTAAACTGCGAAGTTTTTAGAACGGCCTAGGAACATCTCTCGGCCTAGGAACGGCTTTCTTTTCTCCCACGATGTTTTGTACCCCGACATTTTCGCCCTGCGTTGTTTTCTCCGCGAAGTTTTTGTCGGCGATGTCTTTTCCGTGATGTTTTCAACAGGCACCATTATCTGAATATTTTTAGCCCCTCTTCAAAAATGTGTGAGGTCATACAGGAGTTTTTGTTGAAATCGTAATCTACTTCCAGTGATTTAATACCTCTAAAACATCTTTGATTTTTACTTTTTCCTATAAGCAAAGGATTCAGTTTTTAATTTTTTTTCCATATTGGCACATAACAGTGCAGTAACTCCTAACTTTGCTGTGCTTGCGTTCAAAACATTTCTCTTTTTTGAATGTTAATGTTCTCTGCAGTAAACATTGATAAAATAAAATAATTCAGTTTCACTGGCGTTGACGACATGTTTTGGTTTGTACATTTCCATGATTTCAGTTTTCGATACTTTCCTTTCATCACGTACCATTTTGCAACTACTGCATGTATTTTTTGAATTTCTTTAGACACCCATCGTTTGCATGAAAATTCCCTTTATCCAAAAAGTTGGCAAACTCCGTAGCTTTTCCCAGTATCAATGCACTTGATAGCAACACATTTTCTTTTCTTTCATTGTGCACAGCCATTTTAATGTTGCTTCATCAACATCTTCGAAAATGCATTTTTCTTATATTTGGCTTTTGAATCGATGGAATCAAATTTTGACGAAATTCTATCCCGATTTTTGAAGATTGTAGATAAACTGTTTTGTTTTAAGGCTATGTTTTTCTTCTTTACACCATTATTTCCTTTGTTGAGAATCAGCAATCTTTCTTCAAATTTTAAGACACTAATTTCGACATTTTTATCATTCAGTACACAACTAATGTTAAAAAGGATCTGCAGTGTAAAACCACGAAAAGCAAAAATAAAAACAGCGTGCAGCTACTGCTTAACATTAAAATGCTTGAAAAACAGGATTGACTTGGAAATTTTTAACATTAGGTTGGATAAATGTATTCTCATTCGAGAATTTCTCTGCCCCCACTTCATCTGTCTTGTAAAATGGAATGCGACGACCGATAATCAGCAACCTGTTTTTCTTTAGGATTTTTAAATAATTTTACAGTAGAAAGATAAATATTGAAAAATCACCCATTCAAAAACTTTGTTTAATAGAGAGTGTACTTAGCTATTGGGAGTTTCTTAATACAAGGAAATTCGTGCCTCGGGCAGCATTTCGCGAAAAACTTCTAAATAGAGGAATTCGTAATAGAGTGTTCGTTAATAGAGGTTTAATTGTAATATATCAAAAACAAAAGCTTATATATACAGGATGGTGTGCAGGAGTGGGTGATTTTGAAAATGCGGTAATGCAGAGCAATATTATAATATTTTCACATAATTTTAGATGTAAGAAGGTACCCATTTACATAATACCATTTATATATAAGAAGGTATCATTTACATAAAACTAATCACTTTTTGAATACAACATCCTCTAAATAGCGTACCTTTCTGAGATAGCATTCTTGCATTTGTGAATGGACGTTTCTCATTAACTTTCTGTAGTAATGGACCGAATCTCTGTACATATTACAGCTTTGAGCTCATCTAGTGTCTGAGAACACTAAATGACCAGTAGCAAACACACATTCCTTTAAATGGCCTCATAAAAAATCACATGTTATCAGACCTTGCACGTTGATATACCTTCCAAACAGTTCTCACAAAGCGGTGATCGATATCCTTGCAAAGTGAGCTGTAGATCCGTCTTCCTGAAAGGAAGCTATGTTGATTCCACGGCAACATTGTTTTCCTGATTTGAAGCAATGAAGTTGAACCCGGTTTGAAGCAGCGGTATCAATATTGACACCATTGCTTCAAATCTTTTCACTCATTTCTTCATAGCGTAGACACGGCAGAACCGTATCAGGGCAGCACAATTGAAAATGACTGCATGCAGATCACAACTATCATTGTTTTGTAATATGCTTTCAGCGCGAAAGCGTGCTGCTCTCCTGATCACTTCTCCACAGCAAATGGCATTGTATTTGGTACATTATCGCAGTCTCAAAATGTTGCTATATTTAGCAATGACCGAGTACTATGCTCTTCAAAATCTCCCACTCCTGCATGCCACCATGTAAATATATATGTTTTGTCAGAAACGTTCCGGGACAAAAGTCATAAAAAATAGAAAATTGTATTTACCAAGTAATGACCCTAGCTGCTATCAAAGTAGTCCCCTTGGTTATCTATATATAACTGCCAATGTTTCTGGAGGTCTTGGGAAAAATTGTATTAGATATAACTTTTTGAGAGCTGTCGGTGCTACAATTTATAAGTTTAATTGCAGAAAAATTAAATTCTCGTCTTTTATCAAATAGTCTAATTTCTTGAAGATTATATATGCTAAGTCTAATTTCTTGAAGATTATATATGCTAAGATCCAGATAATCAATAATTAATTGATTTTTATTGGTCCTGTTAAGTTTTAGACAGTCGAAGCAGGTGCTGCTCATTTTAATAAGATTATTATTATTGGATGTAATAATATCATCAATATATTTATTAAGTGTGTTTAAATTTTTTGAAATCATTATCTGAAAGGTTTTTAAGAAATTTATATTCTTTAGAAAACAAACAGAGGTTACATAATTGAATTGCATAAGAACTTCCCATTGGAATAAATACCATTTGTTTGTAGGTAAATAATATTTGGATGCTTGATAAAGTTATTGAAAAATGTGAAATAGAGATTTTTCCATTTTTACTTATAAAGTAACAGACTTATAAAGGGCCTCCATATCTCAAATAGCGTAGGGCCTTATCAAGTCTAAATCTGGCTCTGATTATATTGTAAATCCAAAATCCCCATTTTTGCAAATCCAAAATAGCAAGCATTTCAAGGAAAAAATTTGGTAACTCGTGAAGACTTTCATAGATTTCTTTAAGTGGGAGAGAAGTGCATAGATTTTCAAAGTCATAGCAGTTAATATTGCAAACTTTTAGATTTTTAATATTTTTCAATTATTTGCAAACTGTTGTAAATAATCCAACAGTAGTTTTTACCAGCATTAGGTTTATAAAAACTACATTACATAATGATTTAAGAAGGTTTGTAAAAATATAATAAAAATTCTTCTTGTAGTTCCTTGCATTACTTGCTATAAATCTAAATTTGACAGGGTTTTTGTGAAATTTTGGAATAGCATTTAAATTGGCAAATCTATTGTTTGCAGTAAAAAAGAGAAATTTTCCTTTTTTGTGAAAAGCAAAAATTTTGTTGATTATAGTCCTCTTTATTTTTAGAAATTTGATATATTGTTGAATTATGCAGTTCTTTTTCAATTCAAGAACTGTAGTACTTTTTTCATAAAATGCTAAAATTGGTACTTGCTTTATCAATTCTGGTAACAGTAAATTGTTTTTCCAATTGCAAAAACTTCTGAAGTATATCCTTGCAGTTTTTAATTCCTTTAAATCCTTTCATACTTTCAATCTTCGTTGTACTAACATTTCATTTCTGTTATTTATTGTTATTAATTTTTTTTCATGCCTCTGCAAATTTGGTTCTATTTTTTATTTCTTTTTGCCTGTCTCTCTCTCTATATATATATTAAAAAATTTTCATCAAATTACACAGACCATTTTGTTCTATGACCATTTCATTTGAAAAAGATCAATCTGCGATGTGAGCTTGTGGCAGCAATCATCATTGGCCTATTCTTTTTTGAGAAGATAGGTCCTGCAGATACTGTTCCTAGTACTATCAATGGCAAATGGTATGAATGTCTTTTGCGCAACCAGAACAATTAAGAACTGATTTTTTTTTTTGATAAAATTTTGACCTATATTTTTCTTTCACTAGACAAATTCCCACTGCTTTAAGTATATTCAGATCAAATTTCAGGCTATTCTGACTAGTGGTTCTTTTATAGCAGCCTTTTAATTATAATCACTCTGCATTCATGTATAAATCTAGAATTCTAGAATGAAATTTAGCATAAAAATTAAATAAAAAGCTGAATTTTGAATGAAACAATATGATATCAAACTGATATCAACAGGTTTTTATAATGTATAATGAAAACAAGAAGTAAATCATCTTACTTCAACCAAGGATAAATTAACTGGACCAAAAATATAATGATGTTCTTCTGTTATATCATCAGAAGTGAGACTTCTGCTTTCATTTTTAGAATAAGTAAAAGTACCATCCACTATTTCTAATTTAATATTATCACCTAAAAAGAAAATATTTTCATAAAAAATTGGCATTTTAGAGTACTTCCTTACTTAAACTAATATATAAACAACTTACCAGTAATTTCAGAATAGTATTTAGATAAATCCAAATTAGATAGTCCTAAAAATGTGTTAACTCTTTTCACCGATATCCAAGCTTCCATAAGACCATTTAGAACCCAAGGAAAGGCATTCAGAGGTGTAATTAGTATATTAAATAGAGCTATACTGGTAAAAACCTAAAATGTGAAGAATAATATTAAATTAATATAATATTTTCATGCTCTTACAATATAATCAGAGCCAGATTTAGACTTGATAAGGCCCTACGCTATTTGAGATATGGAGGCCTTTTATAAGTCTGTTACACTATATTTTAATTTTTTTTGGGGGGGGGCTAAGCTATATCTTGTGTAGCTTATACGTAAATCCTGCACTGAATATAATCCTCAAACTAATTATATTACAATTTTCTCTCATAAATGTACAGTAATGTATATTTCAGAAATATTTCATAAATACTGAAAATGATTTATTTTTTATACTCTAAAAGTAAAGTAAAAAAATTATGATATTTCAGAGACTGTAATGAAGTAGCAAAATTTTCATAAATTACAAGGGGAAAAAAGGGGAAGAGACTTTTATATCAGAAATATTTTGATGATCTGGGCTACTTACTAAGGCTAAGTGATCTGGGCTAAGTGATACATAAATCTACAACACTACTGATGTATCAATTACTAAACACTATTCATTTATCAAATAATGATTCTGTGTACCAAATATAGATAAAACACAGAAAAATAAATTTACTTGTGAATTTCACACTCAAAAATTTGTTTTAAAAGTTTAGCTAATACTTTTATCTTAATTTATATTATTTTAATAATATTATATTCTTATATTTTATCTTAACTTAAAAAAACGCAAATTAATTTTTTTACAGATTGTAGGAATATTTTTAAGAATGTTATTTAAGGAAAAATAATAACTGATTAAATTTTAAAGTAGAAATTTGATTTATTTCCATTACCATATTGTTCGCATTTTGTCTACAGATACTTTAAACAAGCAAATTTTTATATTACACTTTTCCACTTAAATACATCTAGCTTTTGCTATTACACGGCTAAATATTATTTATTAAAATGGTAAGAGTAGAGTGAAACTAAATAGTTGTCGACGTTACAGAAAATCTAAAATAATTTGCGGAATGAAAGGGTAGGCAGCCCAAAATTTCATGAGTAAATAAACTTCGTCATTTTAAATATGTAAAGTGCAAAAAAATATTTTCCTTATTACAATACTTCCCAATACTGTCAAATTCTTGTCTATTATTTCACTTGGTTACACAGAATGCAAAATGAAATAGTTGTTGTGACACCACATGACTTCCTTGTACAGCCTATTAAATTATACGCATTTTTTGCTGCATTTCATTTAAACTTATTTCCTTGAATTCAATTAGAGATATATCTCTCATTCAATCAATTCAGTTCTCACTTCGCAGCAAGGCAAAAATAAATAAAAAACCAAAACATTTTCATTAAAAATTGTAAAATACAGAAAAACTTAAGACACCAAATACATTTAAAATCAGTTACAAAAACAATTTTTATAACTAAAATTAGAACTTGTGTGCAAAAACAAGCAATTCGGCTAACAGACAGGAAGACAAAATTTTTGATGCACAAAATTGTAAGTTAACATTCGGTCCCATCAAAATGACTCTGAAGTTGGTGCAGACTTCCTTCACTACCAGGAGTTCTAAAATGTAAAGAAATGGCACGCTCGTTAGCACCACTTTTAAACTGTCGATAATCCTACAACTCCTTCGTTCAGATTAACTAAAGCCATAAAAACCTTAACATAAAAGCAACCTAATTCAATCACTTTTAGAGCGAGAAATGCACAATTTACAAACATATAAGAATAAAAACACGGAGCTGGTTTAAAAGCTGAGTTTGTAAGGATCTTAAGTTTTACTAACGTTTTACTAACGTTTATTTTATTTTAAATCTTTACTATCACTTCTTATTTTCTACTTCCGGCCAGAATTATAAGCGTTAATGTTTTTATGCAAAGTTTGTCTGGCGAACGCCAAGTATTTAAGTTGTGGCTTTTTGCCAAGCGAGAGAGAGGAAGCAGTGAGTCGAAGCAGGCCGCGTACCTTAGAAGTTTTACTCAGTTGCTGGTTGCCTTCCAGGCCAGAGGTTTTAATCCTCTTGATAATTTTTAAACGTATTGTAGTGTTCACAGTTCTCTGTACTACATACGGCTTCCTGTTAATATAAGGCCAATCTTCCACGTTTATTATTTTAAAGTTAAATTAGAGTTTAGTTCTATTTTTATATTTTACGTTAGACCCCAAGTAGCGGGTCTGTGTATTCCGAAGTACGGAAGTTATTGTAAATAGAGAAAAATAAAGGGTTTTGTATACCCTTCTTGTGTATCCTGTCTACTTCCCACAGTTTTGAACATAGCTTTAGTAAGCTCTCTGTTCCGAGTCAGGTCCTTGCATGTTCCCGAAGAAGGTAAGACGGAACATTGAACCTGATAAGTTTACCTCTCTCTTTCTCTCTCTCTATATAGATATATGGCATATTATATATATATTAATAAAGACATAAAGTAACAAATTTAGAACCAAATTTTCACAAAGACCAAAAACTGAAATTCATAAGTAATAAATTTCAAATAATCCTATAAATGAAAAAAAATACTTTAATAAATAACTCTACAATTGAAAATGAATTGAAAAATTCGTCTACCTATAGTATCTGCAAAAATAAAGATTGTTATTAACAAAATTTCTGCTTTTCACAAAAAAAAAAAAAAAAAAAAAAAGGAGAATTTCTCTTTTTACTACAAATAATAGTATGTTTTAGAGGGTTTTAAAAGTTTTTATTTAAAAAAAATATTTTTTTTCTCTTAATTACTGTTCTTTTATTAAAACAAGGGCCTCTTATATTCAAAGTCGTCAACTTTTACTTTTCTAACAATAGTTCCTTTACTTCTATTTTATGCTTTCTTCTGTATTTTTCTGTAATTTTTAAATAAAAAAAAAATTTAAATTTAAAATTATAGGATTTTTTACTCACTTCTACAAAACAATTATTAAAAACTTCTTGACCATTTTTGAACACCCTTATTGAGTCTACTAATTTTAAGCACTAATTAATTCTAAAGTTTAATTAAAGTTTTAAACTGAACCGCATTCTTTATTCCCTATTTGTTTAAAAAAAAAGGCCAGGATTTATTTAAATTTCATTTTAATCAGTAAAGTAATATTTTTCTTTTTCAAAATATCTATTTTAAGTTAAAATTTTAATACAGTACAAAGTCCGTAATCCGGACGTCCATTATCCGGAATGATCTATAATCCGGAACTCAAAGCCACAAACTTTTGTTATATGCTTTACGCATGCGCGTTTAATATATAACGGACGGTATAAGCAGCTAGGCTAAAATTATCTTTACTGATTCTAAGGCATTTTAGTTAATGTTGCAGATAGCGCTGTTCCTTAATCTTCTAATTGGATCCGGCTTATTATTTTTTGCAGACTGTTAGAGCAAATTTATAAAAAGTAAGGTTGAACTTTCGATTATGTCAAAAAGAGTTTCCAATTCTGGAGCTGCCAAAGGATCTACAAAGCGAAAGCATGTTTCGATGTCCATCAAACAAAAAGTGGAATTGCTGCAAAAAATGGATAAAGACATATCCGTCTCAAAACTATGCGAGGAGTATGACATTGGAAAGTCAACTGTATATGATATAAGCAAACAGAAAAATGAACTTTTTGAATTTTTTGTGGATTCCGATACCCCACTTGCAATATGGCTTCAAAACTGAGAACGGCACGGGCAGCGCCTTCTGTAAACTGGAAAAGGAAACTAGGCTTGAACACTCGGTATACCAAGCAGAGCTTCTAGCTATCAGTGCTGCAATTAGATATGTGAACACATGTCAACAAGAGAAATTCTCCATACTCAGTGATTCGGCATCAAGTCTGGCGGCTATCGCAAGTCAAAACAGCTGGAGTCCTTTGGAATACCGAATTCAGAAACAGCTTCTGACAATACCTATTTCGCGAAGACCCACTTTAAAATGAGTTCCCGCTCACACAGGGATTCAAGGCAATGAAGTCGCTGACCTACTGGCCAAGCAGACAGCCAACTGCACGGATATATTAGAAAGACCAACTAAACTTCCTTGGTCTCATATTAAGCGAACAACTTTGACAAGTCTGCTACAAAATTGGCAAAGTAGATGGACAGAGGCAGAGGCAGGAGGAAGGGCATTTCGCTTACTGCCAAAACTTAACATGGAAATAAAGACCCGCTGTGCTAGTCTAACACAGTTCTTGACAGGTCATGGACCATTCCCAGTATACCTGAACAGATTCAGACTTAGGGATACTCCTTTCTGTGACTGCGAGAGGAAGGCGACACGGACCATTATTACTTCCATTGTGTACAACAAGAACCTGGCACTTGAAGAAACCAGCGGACTGTGCCTGGGCAATGTGAACGTCTAACACACTCAAAAACAGAGTAGCCCTTGATAAAATAGAGAAAATCTCAAGACACTGCCTAAGCAGAAACAACCGTGAATAATATTATGTTTCACTCAGAACTTAAATCAGATAACTAGAATAACGCTTAGTGCCTGCAGTTATCAATACGTACAAACTGTTATTAGTATGTAATATTCAACCTTGTTACTTTGGAGACTTCCCCGCCGTGATGGTATCTAATTCCGTTTGGTTCATGTCTGTGGTCGGAAGCCATCATAGCGGTGCACTCACTCACCCTACTTGCAATGAATAACAGAACAAGGGTTCTTTATGCTAAAAGTGACGATCATGACAAAGTGATGATTGAATGGGTCAGACAGCGTCGCAGCGAGGGTGTGCCATTGACGGATCCAATGCTAATGGCTCAAGCCAAAATATTTCATGAAGAAATGAACTTAAACACTGAGTGCACATATTCGACAGGTTGGTTAACCAACTTTAAAAATCGCCATGGTATAAGACAATTAAAAATTTCAGCTGACACTAAAGCTGCTGAACAATTTGCAGATGAAGTCATTGAACTCATTACTAGTGAACAATTATCTCCAGAACAAATTTACAACGCTGATGAAACTGCTCTTTTCTGGCAATATGTACCGCGAAATACCTTGGCAACCTCTACAGAAAAGGCTCCAACTGGTGACAAAGATTCCAAAGCGAGA